CCCTTACCATATCATAATAAGTTCTATATTAATTAATCATCCAGTCACTCGGTGCTACATTGGTTAATCTGAGTTTCAGACAGCGACGATAAATTAACCTAAAATAAATAAATGAGTCTCGTTAGTCATAATATTTATTCCTTTTCTTAAAAAAGTTCTGTCTATTCACATCATTTATGGTGCCCGCCATTTAGTTTGAAACTCTAATAATGTTTTAACCACTTTTCCATTATGTGGCTGTTTTTCCTATAAGGCTTTGATTATTACTCCTACACTGTGAGGTTAACTCCTTATAGGTCAACATTAACTGTTCACATAAATTTTAATGTCCTTTAAATCGGCATTTTCCCCACACATTGTCTGTTTATTGGTGTTTTCATTTAATGATCTATCCTTGTTTCAAAGATGCTACATGTTTTTTTCTGTGGGGGATCCATGTTTTTAAACACTGTCCTTGCGAATGGCCATTTGAAGCTTTAAATGATAATATGCCAATTAGCTGAGCTATTTTTTACACACTCGAAAGCAATCAGACTGTCTATCCACACCGGAGATTGAAAGCCACTTTTTATAGACGGCCGGACTCGGCCATATCTGTTCCCCATCTAACCAATAACACCGACAAATAACAATAAAAATAATAAGAAAAATAAAATTGCCCCTGTCGCAGAGCCAAATTAAATTCTAAAAATCAAAGCATTGTAGTCCTAAATAAGATGGTAACTGAGAGATGGTAAATTTTTAAAATACCATTCATGTGGATCTAGTTGATAGGTTAGTCAGTTAATTTAGGGTTTATGATTCAAATGGCATCAGTAAGAAACGGGTAAAGAACAGAGGAAACAAAATTTCGGTACAAAATACTGTTGAAAAGAGGCAACCATCGGAACCAACATTTAAATTTCAGGATAATATTAACATAGATTATAGTCAAATATGGTTTTGGTATATGAAGCGGACTTAAATATCTCATGACCGAGTTCCACTGATGTGTTTTCGTAGTGACTGATATAAACCGTTGTGTTCAATATATGTAAAGAGAAATGTCTCTAACACCTGGTTACCGGAACTATTCCACTACACCAACATTTTTGTAGTAAAACGACCGAGCAGTTAACCATCTTCTTTATATAATACTTTATTGACTGATTTTTAGAAAGTTATTTTACAACAAAGAAAAACACTTTATCTTTTCCTTTCACTTCCACGTAAGAATGTAAATCACCCCATCAAATTTGAATTAAAATTTGTTTTGGCCCCGTGTATTTAATATAAATTGATTATCGAAATATATCCGTGATAACACATTTTTATTGTGAATTTTTTTTTAAAAATACGAACTGATTATTATCTAATTATTTAAGTGCGGTTCTCTACTGATTTCATTTGAGGTTGTTGGTTATACAACTCCTTGGCTATGTAAAATTGACCATGTATAATTATGTTCAACCGGTTCCAGTTTCACGGCTTGCAACCGCAACAGAAGTGACGTCAGATGCATACTCAATGCCATCAATGTTTTTTTTTTTAAAAACTGTTTTAGAATGAACCATATCCGGCAGCTGAAAACACAATACATAAACGTAGGATCTGGTTACCTTTTAAATATTCTAAACAATCTTCCAACCAAGGAAAACAGGATGGCATTACAATGAACAACATTCGTATAAGTAAAAATAGTATTCCCCTGACGCTGAATTCTGATGATTCTACGTTTAAGAGAAAGGATACCGCTGAGTCTAATTTAGAAGTTTCAAGAAAGAAAATATGTCAGTATTTTCCTCACGCGAAAATATTTTATACATATTACGATTATTTAGAGCACCCCATGCCATGAAAAATGTAGGCGTAGGTGTAATACTGTTCGAGACTTAATGTTCCCACGACAATGAGGATGTGGCCTTCTGAGTTGTAATGCTGTGTAGACTAGAACCCTGAATATGTAGGCAGTATGTTTCTCCGAAATATTGGTATCTCTACCTCACACGACGTTACAACTCAGAAGACTAATATCGATATTTCATGAGACTGATCGGTTGCAATGACAACAGTTATTCCTTGATCACTCAAACAATTTTAGCAACCTGTAATTGACCCTGACAAAACTCGACGAGATAAATGCATTTCATCCGAGAAGAATAAATAGCTCATGCGGCTTGGTATAAGTATTCATTAAAATATATTGATGACGAAACAAGTTCTATGCAACGTATAAGAATATAAGGCAGCATAATATTTTATATTTTATTTCGTTCGTACGGACACTCATGAGCTTCATATAAATAGCGGAAATGTGTACTGTAATGGAGAAAAAAATATTTTCAAAATCCTGTGCTTACAGGTTTTGAAACCTCGCTTAATTTATGTTTATGTATTTTAGACAAATATTTATTGCTCCATAGCTAGAAACAGCGCAGATATGATATCGCGCAAAGATATGAGTCTATTTGTTTTCCTTACACTGACATATAATTCAGGTACAAGTTGTTGAACGTAAACGATAAGTGTATAGTTTCTGGCAAACAACTAGATGTGTGAGTAACATCACAATTCTATAAAATTGTTAGATATGCGTTAAAAAGCGTTTCAAAATACCTCCCACTGCACAATAGAGGTTCATACTATCCAGAACTATAACCTTTCATAAATGTTTTCAGTAAGGAGTGGCCGACATTTCCGCCAAGTAGTTTGCCGATAAGTAAACTTTATGTTATGTATTCTACAAAGATTATATACGATGATCCTTTAACTACAAAATTTACGGTAAGTAGGTGTCCCAGTGATCTGGAAGGACGCGATCTTGAACCACTTCAAGGTGATTTCCCGGCATTCACCTTGACAGTCTAAGAAGAAAAACACTTCGCATAGGCTAGCAGGTAATAGAATCAATATTCGATTCGGGTATCTCCCGCATTCAAGTCTAGAAATCACGTGAATAGTAAACGTTTAATTTATGTACTTTATTTTGCAACTATTTCATGCACCTTCGTTACCTTGTCTAAAGAAGAATGGTAGGGGTGTCGAAACAGCAGACGATGGATGTTTGCTTATTTATTACTACTGTAACAGCAGCTGAGGTTATATAACGTCGAAAAGGAAAAGAGAGAATTTTAGTTGGGAGGAGATGGTTACAATGTGAGACAAAGATGTCGTTCCCTAACTGAAAAAAACTATATCGAAACTTTGTCTCCAGAAACTGAAGAAAATTACAAAAAACCGTTAGAGTAACCGGTTTTTTTACCAAATACCAAACGGAGGAGGACCATAAAATAAAGCCTAGCAGTAGGCCTCGTTGTATCAAGACATTCAAAGACAAAAATAAAACTTTTTGAAATCTCGTATTAACACATAGTGAATTAATAACAATGTTGAATCGCTTTATTAAAATAAGGCTAAGCTCCAGCTGGATTATTTAACTAAAACATTCGACTACCCACTCTTTTGCTTACAGCCTATTTGTTAAGGGAAGGATATTAGTGTTATTAAGTACATAGAATATCTTCTTCGTCTTCTTAAAGTGCCTATCCGTTCCGGATGTTGGCGATCAGCATAGCAATTTGAGCTTTACTGGCTGCTACTTGAAACAGCCCTCCAGTGGACACCGAGAATCAAGTTTTTAGGTTCTGAAGCCAGGAGATTCTTGGCCTGCCAGGTCCCCTCTTTCCGAATACTTTTCCCTGAATTATCAGCCCAGAACCAAAAAATTGGAATGTTGTGCTCTTACATGCCACATTAAGCCAGAAATAAAAAGAGAAGCAACAGAGAAAATCATGTTACCCAATTACTAATCCAACATTAAAATTATTTCACCGATATTTTATAAAACTATTGTTAGGTGAATCTGACTGAAAAAAACACCTATTAGTGGTCTCGCAGGTCCTTTTTCGAGGTTATCCACCACCGAAATACCGTTTGTCTGGCATTGAATGAAAATACCAATCAATAGTTGCCGTTTTTTATACACGTATGTACCAGGTTCACCTTGACTGTAAGTTTATCCCCATCATACAGTGTGTTCAAAAATTATAATGTAACACGATAAACTTCTAACTGTAATGTAAAGTGAGATTAAAAGTTACGAATGGGTTATTAATCTTACGACTAAAGTATCCCTTCTGTGGATGCATTTTGTCATGGTCGGAAGACTCAGTATCCTAGTGATCCAGATCTTCATGTTTTGTAGGTATCATGCCCGATGTCTGACCGCAGGTGTGGATAAAGATAAACCCACAGCGCAACGTGTTAATAAAGACGGGACGGATTGAAAAGTACAGGTTCTTAGTCACAAAGAAGACAATTCATGTAGGGGAAGGAAACCAAAATAAAAAGCATGTTAAGCCAAGACCCCGTAGCCATAGCGGAAACATCTGTCTGTGAAACAGAAAACCTAAGAGAATTATCCTGCCTTTAGATTCGTGCTATGGCCTGGAAACTCATTCTCGTGTCTCATTTTGAAAGAGTAATGAGTATTATGGGAATAATTGTTATAACAATAATAACTATAAACATTGGCTAAAACATCTGGAAAGAATGTCTAGAAATCTAATCCCAACCTGTTTCATCATTACAAAAGTTTGAAGATTCCAGGGATGTTCGATAAAAATGTGAAAGGGACTTTATAATTCTTGTCATTCCTGATTATGATGATAAGTTAAGAGAATCTACTCACTTCTGTATTTACGTCTGATAAAGGTAATTTTTGGCTTCGATATTTTGGAACGGAATGCGTCATCAATATACCGAAAACTGTTTACTTTCATCCGTATCATGTAATTTGTCAATTGGTGAATTAATCAGAAATTAACTGAAATAACTGATATTTTGCGTTTGAGAACACTGTATCTGATTCAGAAACTTGATGTTCCTATATTTCTGTCCGAGCAATACATAATAAGTTCTGTAAATAACTTATCAACAACGTGTTAATTCAATCAGATAACCATGGAAGTAAGATTTAGCAACTCACGAGAATATTGTTAATGTTCTGGATTTTTCGGTACCTGTTTTTTCTGTTGTTCCGATAATACTCGAACTCCTTGTTACCGCCTCTCCAGGCAGTCACGAGGTGATTCCAGACGCTCAGATTCAGCGTGTCGAACTCGTCGTGCCACAGGAGGCTCTCAGCAGATACTGTGGTCACAGTTGCCAGAGAGAGCAGCACCACAGCCTGCAGCGACCCGGCCATATCTACCGCCGACGAGACAAGACAGGTACAGACGGCGCGGCTCCCGGGATGAGCTCGGCCGAGCTGCAGGGATATTCATGTTATCAGAGAATTTATGTAGGGTCAGTTCTCTCGTTAACTGTCTAGGGAATCCACACTATTAACAGAAACACAGCAACAAAAATATACAGCACGGATTCTTACAAAATACGCACAAGAAAGCGCATATATCGAATACCGTGCAAGAAATCTGACTACAAAGAAATTAGTATTATAATCTCTCATTTGGAATCGCATATTAAATATCCATGTTGAATCCCATTGAAGATAGATTTTACATTAGGAATTAACCGTGGGTTTTCTCCTTCCTTCAATAGTTATTATTTTAAAATATAAAATAATCACACCTTCTTCGAAAGTATTTCACAATAAATCATTTCCCGGTTGCCATCTTGTTTCTGCAATTCCATATTTACTTCTTAAAAGTCTGCTTGCGTCACTGACTCGGAGATCGAAAGATTTTGTTGGGATCGCACTTGAGGAAGCCAGCCAAGCAGCAGTCTAGACTGAAGATTGTACAACCTACACGTAACTAGCAAACCAGTGCAAAGTTCGCTAAACACAAATTTGCAAAGTTGAATTGAAATTATTTAGCATGTCTAAATAAACAAAATTTCACTGAAATGGCAGACAAACTCAAAGTTCTTGGAATTACTTTCGATGAATTTTTAACTTTATTCCTTTAAAACTTAAAGCCTCTCTCTACAAATTGCAAAATTTGGCTTTTAAATCCAAGCGAACACTTTTTCTCATTTCCAACATCGATGTATGTGTGTGTGTGTGAAGAAGTGGTGTGAAATTATTCTATTTAAGGAACAAAATAAAACCTTCTGTGCTATAAGTCGGTTTTAGATCGTTGGGATAGGTGGTACGAATATTATGGTTAAGTTATTATATGAGCATTATGAAATAAATTAAAGTTAGAAATCAAAATTATAGAAATGAACAACTTGTATATAATTTCAGTACGCAGACATTAGTAGAATTTATCTCTTAAAATTGTCAGACAAGGCATGCCTAATACAGTTTAATTACACCGTCATATTTTACTCAACTTCTACCAGTGTTTATTTCAATTACACTAACGCATTATCGCACCGTTTCACTGGGGACACCTTTGAAAGATGTTTCTTCTGTCACTTAGTCGTCTTCAGATTTATTTTACATTGTTTTGTTTGCATAAGCTCTTACACTAATTTTTGTTGACTCCGAACCAATAACGCACGAGGCCAAGCATTTACATGAAAACGATTACTTTAATATAACCACGTGGTAGAAGAGGAGACAACAGATAAATATGTAAATATTTGTAAGTTTTAATATATAGAATATTGCATTCCACCTGTTTCATACTTAATATATCAACATACACACGGTACGACAGTTTATGCAAATAGAAATTTAAGGCAGACCTGAAGCTGGCCAAGTGATAGTCGAATATGTCGTTCGAAGAGACCCCAGTGAAACAGTGGAATAATATAATAGTAAATGCAATTAACACTGGTGGAAGTGATGTATAAAGTGACGTTGTAGTTCAAAGTTAACTGCATGATCAATACAACAGGTTGTTACAATATAACATTCGCTCCGTCGCTATGTTGGTACTCCGAAACAACCAAAATAAGTTTATATTGAAGTTACATATGTGTTTACAATTTATCAGTACAAGAGTTCCCGAATACGTCGTTGTTCGTTCAGACAGTTCTCACGGTTGCTGGTTTCAGCTTTTATTACAGATAAAATTCTGATAATTGATTTCTGTTTTTGTTATAAAAAAATTATACTAAGATATGGGATATTTTGCCTCGTAGTCAAATAGAGGTTTACCAACGTTTCACAGGTGCTTACTCACCTAAAAAATGGCAACTAAAGCTTACTCCCATGGTTAATATAATTATATAAATTCTAATATTACTCCGAGCTTGCTGGATAACCAGTGTTAAACAGAGTTCGAAGTCACTACATATCACAAGTATAATTCCAGATACCCTGGAATAACAATGAGGTAATATGAATATAATCGAGATGTGTCGTGCAATACTTTTTGTCCTAGGCCATATCAAGAGGGTGGGTTTGTGTCATCTTACCTAAAATTAGTAATGTCAGTAAAGGTGGTTGTCATTATATAAGAGGGTTGCGTTCCTGCGTTAGAAGCTTCGACGCTGGTAACAGGCTTTAGAACTTGGCGTCTGATAGGATATTGATGCTCCTCATAACACCGTAATAAAACAGCGGGGAATATAAAACTTCTGTAACGAAGACACTAATAACGAGTCTTTCCTGTATTATACAGGAATTAAAACAATTTAAAACTGCAGGCTTCGTTTGGATAGCGTACGTTATTTTAAACATTTCACCTGAAATTGTAAATGACAGTTCTTCAAATAGGCGTGTTAGTTTTGTTTGCGACTTTAAAATATGCTTGTGACTGTGATCTTCTTTATCTGTGTATGAATCAGTAGGCTGGTACAGGAACAGATACAACTTTCATGTCCTGCAACGGTAACCTCGAAATTAGAAAGTAGATCGCAGGTACTATATGTGTTTTGATACTTGCATTCGGGTGTACGTTTAGGTCTGGGTAAGGAAGTGGTGAATTTATTTTCATAGGTTGAGAGCTTGTTGTCTTCAAGACGGTAGCCATATTGTTCTTTTACGCTTTGTACAAATAAGATTTCTGTCTTCTGGGTTGTTGTGCTGTGTAGTCTGGTCGCCCAGACTACACAGCGCAACAACCCAGAAGACACAAATCTTAATACTCACCGTTGTGAAAACCTCAAATCTTACTTGTACAAAGATGCTATCTCCATTATCACCGCTCTGATGATGAAGGCAGCAAGCACCTATTAAACGTGGGTAAATTTTTACCAGAGTACTCGGTTTAGCAACCCATCAGACAGCAATTTTAATACTCACCGTTGTGAGAACCTCAAATCTCATAAAGATTTATTACTTTTGAGGTTATATTGCCATACATCATTCCAGGACCCTGTAACCTATAAAGTGTCTCACTACTTCACAAGTTCGTCCGTCCGCCAGAAATTAAAATGTACGAAGTTGGTGTGGCCTCCAATGGCATATATTTATGCAAAATTTCGTAAAAATTAGCCAGGTTGTTAAAAAGTTTAAGGAAGAGACACACAAATCTACTTTTGCTCAAGAAAGGAAAGTGGTCTATAAATTAATGTCCCCCATTCCCTCGTAAATTTTAAAACTTGAATCCTAGAACATAAACCAAGAGTCTGTTAATTTGCAGAAGTAGGCCTATACTTAATTTGTCGGAATCAGGCAAGTTAATACGGAAATAGTCGGAAACAATGGGAAGTGTTCAAAATAATTTCAAATCTTCTAAAGGCGCAATGGAAGCGAGAATTCTGACGGTGGCAATTCGTGAGGGACCAATTCAGAAGACGTCGTAGACTCCGGCTTAAAAATGAGAAGATGTGGAAATGCTTTCTCTTCTCACCGACTTTTGTAAACAACACCATAACGGTTATTGTTGTCAGAACAGTGTGTGGAATGTTGTTTAGATTCTTCAAGGTTAGTGGTCTTCTGAACAGAAAATTACATTCTACAAACCTGTTATTTTTGGACAGCTTATGATTATTAGCTCTTTATTAGTGCATTTTAAAACATACTTAAATGAAGCATATGAAGAACTGAATGTATTTATTACTTTTATTATTATTATTATTATTATTATTATTATTATTACTCTGTTACTAATACTGACTCCTTTAAATTGGAAAGGATTCAAAGGAAATTTGTAGCTCTATGTTACACTAGATTCTTTAATGGCGTTTGTGCCTATAATTATGATGATATATTAGTTAGATTTTTTGTCGTTGCATTTAAGGAGGAAGCTTTTGGATGCCCTTTTCCTCATCAATGTTTTTAAAGGGAAAATTATTTGCTCATCTGTTTTTGATACAGTTAGTCTCTGCGTACCCACTGGGTCTATCAGAGACTACTCTACCTTTACTGTACAACGCAATTTCAAACTAAGTCCCTCTGTAGGAGCATCGACATCTTTAACAAAGATCGTGTTTTGCTTACCGATGTCAATACCATTGTTCTTTTTTATTGTTTATTTAGTATAACATTTTATTTTGTATGTTGTTAGTCCAAAATTTAACTATTTTAATTTAATTATTATTTTACTTATGCATAACATTTACCTCATTATTTTGCAATAAATTAATATTGTACATTTATATATTCAGTTCATTGTTTGTTTGCTTTTGTATTGTTGTTAGTGCTTGGCTGTTATTGGCCTTTTTGGCTGTTGTCAACCACTTTAATAAATGAACTGGATTATTATTATTATTATTTGTATCTGTAATTGGCCGTCTGGCTGTTGATGCAGCACTCTAATAAAAATAATTGAATCGAATTATTTAATGAGACAGAATAGTTCAACCAGTAACTGAAGGATCCAGATTTAATTTCCACAAAATTCTATTTTTCTACGACGTCTACATTTGCTCGTAGACTAAAAAAACCTCATATGTAACAGGTACTGGAAGAATTTTTCTCGGGGGTAAAGCTGCCGGAGCGTAAAACTGATTACTGATCTGCATCGCATGTCCAGACCTACAATGCATGCTTACTTCCATTACCACTATTCGACTTCATTACGTCATCCATGAGTGCCGCTACAACTTAACCCCTTTTATCCTGTATTTTTACTTGTTTAAGCTTATCGCTTAATGAAACGCCTACATTCGACACTGGGAATTTAAAAATAACAGAAAGTGGTGTATGAAATGCACCATTATTATAGCATAGCTTATATGTTGCATTTAGGCTTACCTCAGCATGTGAAGAACCGAAATTGACGTTTTAGATTAATGACAACTAATGGAACTAGTTGACAATGTCAAATTTGTAACAATTATTGAAGTTTAATGATAATTTATACTTAAGAAATGGCGAGACAATTAAGTTATTATATGATTTTAAGCTTTTATGGTGATTTATTGTGAATGTTGATGCGAATATATTATTGATGTTGATCCTGTTTT